CCCCTCCGAGGGTTCCAGTGGCCAGCTGGGAATGTGGAGCCAGTCTGAGGCCTGGTGGTACCTGGGGGCTGGGCCTCAGAGAAGTCTGGCCCTCATAGTACCCCCTAAAGATAGGTGTGATCGTCCCATTTTATAGATTTCATGGATGGAGAGACTGAGCCCCAGGAAAGGGAGGCAACACCTCTCCTCAGTGGGTTAGCCAGGATGTGTACCAGATCAGTGCTGGTGTAGACCCAGAATCTTTGTCTCTGTGACCTTTGGCCTTGAACATCACCTACTTGCCTGTATCCCCACCCCAGCCCCACCATGCCAGGGCAGGGTGCTGCCAACCATGCTCCCTCGCCCCTGCCCTCCGACCCCCATGGTCCTCCGTCATGTCCTGCAACCCCACCCCGCCTACCTGGCTACCTCCTGCTCATCTTTAGATGTTGGTTTCAGCATCACCTCCTCCCTGAACTTCTCTCTAGAAGTGCCCAGGACCCTGTTGATGTCCCTTCCCTGACTCTTCCAGCCTTGTTCTGGGAAAGTGGTCAGGAAGGTGCCATGGGGGAGCAGAGGGGTAGTGGTTGTGCTGGGGCTGGGAGCTGCCTGGAGGTGCGGGCACTGTGCAAACGGTGGGCTGGCCCAGGCTCTGCACCCCTAGGGGCTGGTGGAGGGAGTGGGGCAGGGCCTTGCCTGCCTGCCAAGTTTAGGCTTTATCCTGAGGATGGTGTGTGGGGGGGAACAGGCAGCAGGGGAGGCCCCGGGGAGATTTATAATGTTTACAGCCTTCCGGGCAGCGCTCTAATTCCTAGAGTGGGGCCAGGCACAAAGTACAGGGGTTATGGAAAGGTGGATGGACAGACAGACGGCAGGAGTTTTAGGGGTAGGAGATAGGACAGCAGGCAGGGCTGGAGCCAAGAGATGGCTAGGTGGAATTATCCATGCTCCATGGGCCTCCAGAGAGAATTTTGGAATTTTTTCCCTGTGTGTCTCTTCCTTGACTGTGGCCTTCAGTCAGCTGTGAGCTGAGGGTGGGGCTGAACGCTGTGAGTTGGAATGGGTGGTGGCCCTGGAGAGCTCAGTCCCCACCTTCACTGGCTCTCCTTGGCCTCTGCTGCAAGCCCAGCATGTGGCTGTGGGCAGTCCAGCAACCCAGCAGAGGGGAGTGTCCTCAAGCTGTCTGGAGTAGTGGCAGTCAGGGCTGTGACAGGGGAGGGAAAGCTGAAGGGAGGATTTGGGGCAGCTCACGTAGGAGGGACTTGTGAGCTTTCTTCCAAGGACTAGTAGGAAATTTGCCCAGACCAAAGAGGAAAGCGCTACCCAGGAAGAAGGCCCTAGCCACTCACAGGGCCATGAAGGCAGACGGATTCATGCCACTCAAGCAGTGGGCAGAGCTGGAGGAAAGGCAACACATGTGTGCTTGTGGAGGGAGGCAGGAGGCTGGTGGCAGGCACCAGGGGCACTGCCAGGTCAGCCCCTCCCCTTATGGGACCCTCTGCCCATGGGCACTTCCTCCTGGATACCCACTGCCTGCTCATTTGAGATCCTAGCAGAGGCCTCTGGTCCCGAGAGGTGGAGCTTCCCATTGCTACCTTTCCTACTTACCCTGGCCCCAATGTCCTTGGGGGAAGTCTGTGCCCCAGAGGTCAAAGCAGAAGAGGTGAACGAGTATCTGGCAGGAACCACATGAGCAGAGCATGGACAAGGTTGGAAGTGAGAGGGGACGGTGGGGACTGCAGAGAAATGGCAAGTGTGTGTCCTATCAAAAGGGCACAGATGCCACTGAGCTCTGCAATTGTTGCTTTTTTTGGAACTCAGGCCTGGTGTCACCACATCTGAATTTTTTAAGAGAAGCTGGGAATCCAGATTTATATGTGAAATCTCTTGATTGTAAATAACTAATTTAAAAATGTTTCAAACATCATATGAGCTAAACAGGCACATCTGTGGACCGGTGTGGCTCATTGTTAGGCATCAGATGTTGAGCCCTGACTGAGGTGAGAGAGAGCAGGGGCTCAGTGTCCCTGGACCAGTCCAGGCCACTCTTGAGGTGGTGGAAAGTCCAGGACACTGTCAGTGGTGGGCCCTGGAGCCTCCTCAGACTGGCTTCTCAGAGCTGCCCCAGGCAGCTAGCAGGCCAAGCTTGCAGCAGGATCACCCGCTGTGCTCAAGGCTGATGAATGGCCCCTTGGGCCCCATTTCTGGGCAGGGGCGCCTGGTCTTGCCCACCAGATCCCAGGCGGGAGCAGCTTTCCCTTCGTGTTAGTATTGCAACCTCTGCCTGTTTTCTGTTCGCATGACCCGCGTTTTCAGGAACTGCTGGTGCTGGGTTGGGGGCATCGCATAGGTATCTCCACACCAACGTGGGTGCCAAGCAACCATGTGGCCAAGTACATTCTCTATACCTGGAGCCAGACTGCCTGGGTTGGACCCTTGTCCCTCTCATGCATGCTGAGTGAACTTGGGCACATTCTTAAGACCCCATGCCTATCAGTTCAAACATCCTGCAAACTGAACAGGCAAAAGTCAGGATGATGATGATGGTTACAGTGATAGTGATAGTCCCTAATCCCTAAGTTATCAAGATGGGTAGGATTAAATGTGCTGATGTTTGTAAAATGCTCAGAACAGCACTGTGTGTAGCTACTTCAGTACTCTCCTCACACTCACATGTCCCCACCATGTGTGCATGCCCATGCACACACACCCCACATGCACACATACGCACACACACGCACACACATTTACAAGCCCACATCCAGCACATGTGCACACATATGCACACACAAGCCCACCGTACATGCACACATGTGCACACACACTTCTCCCTAAAGCATTGCTGGCATCCAGCAGCTGCAGCCCACATGGGCATGTGTTCTCAAAGGAAGAGTCTTCACCTTTCAGGTTTTATACACTTTGTTTTGGGGTCAAGCAGGGTGAGGAGGAGCATTTACTGTGTCCTGCTCTGTGCCAGGCACTGTACCAGGGACCGATGTATCTTATTCCAAAATAGCCCCTGAGTGGGGAGCTAAGTAAGACACATAGAGCCCCACTTTTAGCTGGCTCAGTGCCCAGGTCTCTGAGAAGTCCCAAGCCTGGAGTTTTGGCATCTTGCCCCTGGAACACCCCACAAGCCACCCTGAAGGGAAGGTCTCTGCACAGTGGGTGTGAATAATGTCAGGCACTCCAAAGAGTCAGGCACTCACCTTGTAAAGCTTAGGGGCCGGCAGAAGTCTGTTTCTCCTGTTACTGTGCCGTGGTGTGGACAGCTTTATGCATCTCAACTCCTTCCCTTCTTTGCCTGGGCTGCCAGGAACCTCTATGCCTAGTGATGTATTTAGTTTTCACAGATTTTCTCAGAAGTTCCTCTGCCTCCTTCCTCTCTCCCTCTATTCCTCATTTGCTGTCTTGTCATGTATTGTTTTAGATCATTCTCTCTCTGATTTCTTTTCGCTAATGTTATTTAAGAGTAGCATGCAGAAAAGTATACAAGTCATAAGTGTAGAGTTCAGTGAATTTTCTCAAGAGGAACATAAGTGGGTAAGCAGTGCCAGGGGAGAGTCACAGCATTACCAGAACTCCAGAAGCCTTTGAATCCCTTCCAGTCACAGACCTACCAAGGTAACCATGTCACGGCCTAACAGCACAGATGGGTTTGGCCTATCTTTAACTTTACATAAATGGAGTCATGCAGTGTGCACTCTGGGGTTTAGGCTTCTTTTGTTTCTGATGATGTTTTTGTTTTCTAATTTTTAAAACATTTCATAAAATACACCTAGCATAAAATGTCCTGTCTTCATCATTTTTAAAGCACACAGTTCAGCAGCATTACATTCATTCGAATTATCTTGCAACCATCAGCACTATCCATCTCCAGAACGCTTTCCATCTTGCAAAGCTGAGACTCTGTGCCCGTTCAATTCTAACTTGACATCTCCCCTGTCCCCAGCCCCTTGCAGCTGCCATTCTACTTTCTGTCTCTGTGAATTTGACTACCCCAGGTTCTTCATATAAGAGGAATCACACAGTATTTGTCCTTTTGTGAATGCTTTACTTCACATAATGTTCTCCAGGTTCACCCATGTTGTAGCACGTGTCTGAATTTCCCTCCTTTTTAAGGCTGAATCAAGTTCTACTGTATGCAAATACCACGTCTTGGTTCTCCATTCATTGATGGACACATGGCTTGCTTCCACGGTTCAGCTACTGTGAATGATGCTGCTGTGAACATGGGTGTGCAAGTATCTCTTTGAGACCTTGCTTTTAATTCTTTTAGGTATATACCAAGGGGAGAGATTACTGGTAATTCTGGTTTTAATTTTTTGAGCAACTGCCGTGCTGTTTTCCACAGCAACTGCACCATCTTGTCATCCTGCCAGCAGTGCACGAGGAAGGGTTCCAGTTTCTCCACATCTTCGCCAACACTTGTTACTATCTGATCTTTTGGCAGTAGCCATCCTAGTGGGTGTGAGGTGGTATCAGATAGTGGTTTGGATTTGCATTTTCCTGATGATGATTGATGCTGAGTCATGACTATGGTTTTCGCATTACTATGTCATCTGTCTTGTCCAGTGAGCTGTGCCTCGTTTATTCTCCTTGCTGCACTATGTTCCATGGTAAGAACAGAACACAGGACATCTGCTGTTGATGAGCATTGGATGGCTTCTTATTTGGAATGACTGCAAAACCAATCAATGACATGCATAATACATGCTCCCAAGGGCCATTTGCTCCTGGCTTGGGCAAGCTCCACGGGCCAGGTCACACCACCAGCTCACTACTGCCTCCTGCTGTCTGTCCACAGGCAGGCCAGGGCCCAGCCTCCTGGTGTGTGTCCTCCCAGCATGTGTCCAGGCGACCAGGGCCCAGCCTCCTGGTATGCATCCTCCCAGTGTGTAATTTGCTTCCTGAAGAGGAGCTACCTTTAGCCCCTAACAGTGCCCCTGCCCTCCATTGTCCTGAGCACCCAACACTGAGCTGGGTGGTGGAGGGCGTGATTAGCTCCTCTCTGTGCTCAGGGATCTTTGGGCAGCGCCTGGAGGACACAGTCCACCACGAGCGGAAGTATGGCCCCCGCCTGGCGCCCCTGCTGGTGGAGCAGTGTGTGGACTTCATCCGGGAGCGCGGGCTCACTGAGGAGGGGCTGTTCCGCATGCCGGGCCAGGCCAACCTGGTGAGGGACCTGCAGGATTCCTTCGACTGTGGGGAGAAGCCACTGTTTGACAGGTGAGCTTGTGATTGGGGGTAAGATGGAGCCACTTGTCTATTCCTCCTGCAGGCTCCTACCCAGGACACCAGCTCCAGTGGGCAGGGGTGGGCTGGCAACAGGATGGTAGGCCAGCCCTCCTAGTGGGCAGAGTGTAGGGCACACCCTCACTCTGCCAGCCTGGGATCCCCTCTCAGGATGGATGCCTGCCACGCACAAGGCCAGCTCACATCCACACAGCCTGCCTCCCCTGCACATGCTAATAAACCTGACCCAGGCCAGAGGAAAAGGACCTCTGCTGGCTGCCATGTGAGGACATGCAGCTGCATCCGGGACCCCAGGCCTTCTGTGGAGTCTGTCTCTTGGCCGTGCTTCCTCCGGTGACCTACCCCCAGGCTCTATCGATGGCAAGATGGCACAGCAGCTCGGGTCCCCTCCTTTTGGGTTCTGGGGACAGGAGAGCGAGTCTCCTCCATCTGTCCTGGGGCCATGTCCATCCTACCCATCATGGGGGCTTACCCAGACCCTGGATGCCCCTGGGTGGAGCCAACTCTACCCCCAGTCCAGGGCTGTTTGAGGACTCTGTTTCCCCTGACAGTGCCCCACCCATTATGGGGCAGTTTTTCATAGAGTTCTTACATCAAGAAAACCTACTGTCTATGGGGCTTCTGCCCTTTCTTCTTGGATCTGCCCCAGGATGGGCCCACCAGGACCCACAGGCAGCCCTAGCCTCCCAGGGCTTCTCCTCTGGGGGCAGAACACTCAGCCCCTCAGCTCTTTCCCAGACCCATCACTGCAGCCAGGGGAGGGTGTCGGTTCCTCTCCTTAGATGTGGAGTCCAGGATTGACCATGTTCCCTAGCAGTACTCCACCCAGGGAGGTACGGGGGACCCTTCCTCTGGAGCTTTGTGAAGCTCCATCCTAGTGTAGACGCTCAGTGAGCTTGTGGTCCATTCTGAACCTCAGCCAGCCAGGCCTCTTCCATCCCGTGTCTCAGCGTTAGGGTTGCAGATTGCTTCAAATAATGTCACCTGGGTAAGGCCTGGGAACCAAGACTTTTGGAAGCTCCCCAGGATCAGATGCTCTGCCCTAGTGCCTGATGCTACCTGAGGGGCTTCTGAAGACACAGATCAGATCTTGCCACTCCCCTACTCAAACTCTGCTGGGGCCCCCTGGAGTGGTGCAGGCCGTCTGCACCTCCCCTCCCCTGCCGAGCTTCTCCCATCCTGCTGGGCAGGTCTCCACCTGGGCCCACCTGCTCTCCCAAGGTGGATCCCTGGCATGCTCAGCCTCCTTTCTGCACCTGGCCTGCCTGCTGAAGCTCCCTTGAGAGGCAACTGGGCACCCCAGGGTGAGTTCCATGCAGACCTGACTCTCTGTGTCCCAGCAGCCTTGGGCAACCTTCCCTGTGTCTTGGGGGCCCTCTCCTGTCTGCCTTCTCCCTTTCTGGCTGCTTCTACCCTGCTTCTGGAATTGCGTCTGGAGGGCCATCTCCACGGTGGGCATGTTGGCCTTGTCCCTCCACCCCCATCTCAGCAGTGGCCCCCATATTGCCACGGTGGCCCTGGGCTTTGGTTTCCTCTCCCTTTAGAAACTCCTCCTAGGGTATCTGAGGCCATCCTTCCCACTTTCCGCCATTTCCATGGCAGCTCCTCTGGCTCTGCAGCTGTACCCAGAGAGGGGCCCTCCCCACCCACTCCCGATGGAGGCTCCCCTTCCCACCCAACCCCAGCAGAGGGTCCCCCCTCCCTACCCACCCCCAACAGAGGGTCCCCTCCTCACCCACTTCCAACAGAGTCCTGGGATGGAGCTCTGTCCTCAAGGCCATGGCCTGCCCGCCTCCCGGGGCGTTGGCTGCTAGCCTGGTCCCTTCCCCACGAAGCCCCTCCTCACCTTCCTGCTCATCTCTATAAGAAGGTCCCCTTTAGCCCCAGGTCCTGGGCTTCTCTTCTGCTAAAGCCTCATCAGGCCTGGAAGCCTCAGTGCCTGGAGCTGGCCCATACTTGCCCTTTCCCAGCACGGTGTCCCCTGGGCACTGGGCTGTCTGTCTCCCAGGCTGCCGCCCCGCTGCTGAGCTGTGAGGATGGCCTCTTGTGAGCTGGAGCCTAGGGCTGCATGGCTCTTCTTACTCCCTCAGCTCCTATCCTTTGAGTGAGGGACTGCTGGGAGGCCTAGGGGTGGAGGGGCACCCACATGCATTAGAAATTCTAAGGGGGGTGGGTCTTGACAGATAACAAGTAAATACCAGGGGCACCAGTCCTGGGCCTATTGGTAGGGAACCTGCCGGGGTGCTGCAGATGGCAGGACTGGGCTGCTCAGGGAGGAGCCCTGTGGACACCCAGGTGCGGTTAAGCAGGCGGCCTGGCTTGGGGGCAGGTCGAGGAAGTGGGGCTGGGTGATGAGAAATGGACTCTAGGGGAGTGAGGCAAGTTGGGGCCAGGCTGGAGGCATGGTGTGTTCTGCATAGATGCTGGTGTTGGTGTGGGCAGGGGGGTTCCCTGGGTACGGAGAGGTGATGAGGAACCTGCAGATGGAGGGTCACCTTGCTGTGGGTGGCACTGACCACCAGGGCCGGTTTGCCCCTAGGGCAGGCACCCCATCCCCTGACCAGCTGCTGCCCTCTCTGCCCCACCCCTGCCTCCAACCTCCGCCTGCACTAACGTGACCGCACGCTGGGAGGCCCACAGGCTAGGGAGGCACACACAGGGCCGCAGGCTGTATAGAATTCTCCTTGGGTCTTGTTGGAGGGAGGAAGGGGACAGCAGTTTAGGGAAAAGTCTCAAGAAAAGGCCTGGCGACAGCTGTTGAGGAAAGGCACTGCAGTGGGGAAGGAGGAAGGGAGGGAGGGGCGAGGAAAGGAAGTAAGAGCTCAGGTGCCGAGCGGATGGGGGGGTCAGACAGGGCCAAGCAGCAGGACCCTTCAGGGCAGGGATGCAGCCAGACTGGTCTGCAGAGAAGGGGTGGCTCTGTGTCCACTCAGCCAGGGCAGAAACGCTCTGTCCCCCAGCTGCAGGAAAGGGGAAGACATGCGGGCTGGCTCCCAACCACACTTCCCTGCCTCCTGCCCCTTCCCCAGGGCAGCTGGCCAGGAACATGGCCCTGGAGAAGGCCGAGTAGGGTGTGGTAGCAACATGTCTTGCTGGAGAGGGAAGAAGGGTAGGGTGGGGGCTGACTGGACCCAGCCAAACCGAGAGTCACTGAGCCTCAGGAAAGGAGGGGCCCCAGGTATATGGATTTGGGGTACATATGGATACATGGAACCCCAGAATCCCAAGTGTCAGGGCCAGAAGGTATTTATCTCAGTGAGCCTAGCCTGGGATCCATCAGGGGTCAGGTGATAGCATAATGGCACAGCCACAGTCTCCTGGCCCCGGGCTCATCTTTCTTGAGGGAAATGCAGTCCAGGGTTTAAGTCCATGGTCCTAGACAAGTAGATGAAAAACCTGGGGCCCATATACGGCTTGGAGTGCAAGCTCAGAGGAGATGCCAAGGCTCTCGTTTAGGACCTGAACTGCAAACCCCACACAGGACCCAGGGAAGGACTGCACCAGGCCCATTGTCACCACCGTCCACAGCTGGCTACTTCTGCGTTGGCAGCTCCAAGCCAGAGCAGGAGACTGAGGCCTGGAGTGGACTCCTGGGGCACTGGAGAGGGGGTGATGAGCTTAGAAGCCCAGGTGTCCCCACGGTGGACAGGAAGAGAGGAAAGGGCCTGACCTCCGACCTGCTCCTGCCGTTGGGATTCTGGGGAGTGGGATTCCCCGACAAGGAGCCAGCAGCCCTGCACTGTGGGCGCCTTTGATGCAGCTCCTCCCACTCCAGCCAAGGTCAAGTGCAGTGGAGAGTGCAAGCTCAGGCTGGGGGTTGGCAGCACCTATGGAGGGCCTGCAGGATAGCTGTTCCTACTGCAGAGCAGGCGGCTTCCACATCATCCTGCAGGGGACCTTGGGATGGCCACCAGGCCTGTGGAAGGCGCTCCCTGGCCCATGTCCCAGGGCCCTCCCCTGTGCAACCTGACCTGCATCACACTGGATTCCTCCGGCCCAGGGCAGCTGCTAGGGTGGAGCAGCTATGCCCTGCAGGGCCCTGTGGCTTTGCAGTCCCTGGAGTCCTACGCAGTCTACCCAGGACAGGAGCAGGTCCTGAATGGACTGACACAGACTCAGGGGTTCTGAGCAGGTGCCTAGGCGTGATGGGTGGTCCCTGAGCTGGAGCTCCTGGCCATGGATACTTAGTCGCCCCTGCCCCAGCCCTGTCCACTGCTCCCAGAAGCAGCACTGGCCTTTCCTTGACCAAGGCAGCTGGCCGCAGATGCAGCCCCCAGTGCGCCCAAGCATGCATCTGAGACCAGAGGCTGCCCCTTGGCATCAGGGGGTACCAGTCACCCCTGAAGTCCCCTGGCATCCCAGACCTCACACACCTGTCCTCTTCCCTTCCCGCCCCCAGCACAACAGACGTGCACACGGTGGCCTCCCTGCTGAAGCTCTACCTGCGGGAGCTCCCCGAGCCTGTGGTCCCCTTCGCCAGGTACGAGGACTTCCTCAGCTGCGCCCAGCTGCTCACCAAGGACGAGGGGGAGGTCAGTGGCTCCTGGGATAGCTCCTGGGAGATGGGCTGGCTGGGTGGTGGCCTGTAGACTCCGGACACAGACTCTGACTTTTCATGAATTTTCATGGCACATGGATCCTGTGGAGGCCTGCTCTGTGTTGGGGGTGTGGTGGAGGCCTGGAGCATCCTGCTCGGCTGGTGGAGGGGCCAGGCCATCCTGCTCAGGTCGGGGAGGGGCCGGGGCATCCTGCTGTCTGTCTGGAGCCATACCTGTCTGCAGCCTTGGTCCCTGGGAGGGGTGGGTCCAGGGTGCCCAGCTCTGGCTGCCACACTAGTAGGTGCTCACACTCCTCATACCCGACTCAGGCCACTCGGGCCTGTCATGGGCTCAGAAACAGGGAGGTCTTTTATTTATATCTTGCTTCCTTCCCAAAAGAATTTGAGCTGGCTCCCAGGACCGATGAGCCAGCCCTCCCGTTCCCACCCACGCAGGTGCTGGTTTGCAGCCCCAGGTGGCTCAGGGTCAGGGAAGGACCGTTTGCCTCCCCTGTGGCCCTGTGGGAGTTGAGGGCTCGTTATCTGGCAAATATTTGTGTCTTGATAAGTGAGCTGAGTGCTGGCCCTGACATTCCTCCACCGGCCCCGTAGAGGCTCACCCCTCACTCCAGCTCCTTAGAAGCAAGTTAGCTTCCCAGGAGGTCACAGCTGGGCCCTGGCCACTCCTTGAGGGGAGGTGGAGGTGGTGGAGCCCTCTGGTCTGTTGGGGCTGGGCCACCATAGCCCCCACCTCGCTTCTCCTTGCCCACCCCTCCTCGCAGTCAGAGAAGGACGAGGGGCCTCATTGCTGGTGTTTGAAATTCTGTTATTCATTCCTAAGGGCACTCTGGAGTTGGCTAAACAAGTGAGCAACCTTCCTCAGGCCAATTACAACCTGCTCAGATACATCTGCAAGTAAGTGGCATGGCAGGAGGGGAACTACACTTGCCTGCACTGGCTCCACACTCCCCAGCCCCACAGCGAGACCCATAACTCTTCCTTGCCAGAGGGGTGCCCGGGTCATTCCCCCACCCTGCACAACCTCACCCAGCATGGATGAAGCTGGGAGTGGAAAAATGCAGACCCTGAGTTCATGAAGCTTACAGTCCCATGGGAGCAGCTGGTTTTAAACAGCCCTGGGTAGATAATACCCTCTGTCCCTCCTGGGTGCTTCTTGCCATCCTGTCCCCCCAGGCATCTGCCCCTTGACCCCCAACCCTTCATGTATCCCCATCCTAGACACTGAGAAGGAGCATGCAGGGGCAGTGCTGACTAAGGTCTGGGACTTCCCAGAATTTGTGCACACTGCAATGTGCAGCGTCATGTCCTCCTTTCACACAAATAGCGGTGGGCCCTTGTCCCAGTGAGCTTTGCTTCTGATGGCCCTCTCGGGCCCCAAGGGAAGCCTGCCCTCATTGAGCCTGGCAGAGGCAGGCTGCACCCAGTGGGCAAAAGTCCATAGGCAGCAGGGCTCGGCAGGGCGTCCAGGCCACTCACAGGAGACTGGGTGACAGAACTTGCTTCTTTGATGACTGCTGCTTCCTTACTTTGCAGGTTTCTGGATGAAGTTCAGGCATACTCAAATGTCAACAAGATGAGTGTCCAGAACCTGGCAACCGTTTTTGGACCTAACATTCTGCGGCCACAGGTAGAGGACCCAGTAACCATCATGGAAGGTAAGTGGGAGGTGTACCTGGTGGCCCTGGGTGCTGCCGGGGTCTGGGCTCATCTTGGTCCGGGGCAAGTCCTCGGAACTATCCCAGCCCAGGGCCAGGCCAGCAGGAGGGGTGGCTCAGGTGGCACATCTCCATCTCGGGGGACTTGGCAGGAACTTCTGCAGAGCTCACCCCGCCGACCCCCATGAGGTCCAGCTGTAAGATAAAAAGGAACTTTGCCCTGAGATGGGCAGCAGCAAGTCACTGGGTGCAATTAGAATGGCCAGTGGTTTCTGTGGATGGAAGAGGCTGGAGGGATGGGAGAGGTCAGCACTCTTGCCCTTGAACACAGACATGTTTACTTTTCTTTTACAATTAAGCAATTGTCATAGGTTCCTGGATGTCAGCTTTGCAAACCCTGGAGGATTTATGATAAATAACAATAAGTGATTAAAAATAGCAGCAACAGGCTGGGCACGGTGGCTCATGCCTGTAATCCCAGCACTTTGGGAGGCCGAGATGGGCGGATCACGAGGTCAGAAGATCGAGACCATCCTGGCTAACATGGTGAAACCCTGTCTCTACTAAAAATACAAAAAAAAATTAGCCGGGCATAGTGGCGGGCACCTGTAGTCCCAGCTACTCAGGAGGCTGAGGCAGGAGAATGGCATGAACCCAGGAGGCGGAGCTTGCAGTTAGCTGAGATCGTGCCACTGCACTCCAGCCTGGGCGACTGAGCAAGACTCCATCTCAAAAAAAAAAAAAAAAAAAAAAAAGAGGCAGCAACAGCAGCTGCTTTCAGTAAGTTTCTACTAAGTGCCTTGTTTGTATCACCTCATTTCAGGCTTTACAACCAGCCTGTGCTGTGGTAATCGCCCCCTCTTTACAGATGAGGAAACTGAGGCCAGGAGAGGCGAGGGGACTCACCAGAGACCAGTTAGCCAGACTTAGCAAAGGGCACAGGTGTAGGCTGCCATAGAAGAGAGAGCCCACCTCATAGGGCCCATGAAACACTGTCCCCAGTGGAGTATGCGTGAGAGGCGTGCTGCTCAGACAGGAAGCCCACAGCTGAGGTTGTTCTTGCCCTTATCCCATGTGGAGGGACATGGCGGAGTGCTTTTGCTGAAGTCCCCACTTTGGTCTGTCCTGGCTGGTCTCCCACCCCAGGGCCCCATGAGGCCAGGAAAACACAAGCTCCCACCTGCCTGGTGGTACAGATGCTTGAGGTGGAGGCCTGCCCTGCCTGCTTCATGGAGTTCCTGCCTCACCTATGTTCTTGGCCTCAGAATTCTCTCCTTGACTTCTTCCAGGATTCCTAGTCAACTTCAGTGGGAGAGTCCACCCCGGCACTCAGCCCTCCCTCCCACCCGGGGACCTCCTAGCGTCTGGCCTTTGTGGTGAGGGTGGTGGGAGGGAATGAGGCAACTGGGTAGATGCCAAGGTCCTTCCTACACTGCCCACCTCCGCTGTGGGCCCCCACCCCACCACCCTAGGAACTGAGTCCCCAGCACTGGGGCTGCATCTCAGGGGCCTTGGCCTAGAGACAGGGGATTGTGTGTGTGTGAGATTATATGTATGTGGGATTCTGGGGGATGCGCAGGGTGCACTATGTGTGTGATTGTATATGGGGGAATTTGGGGAGGGTGCATTCTGTGTGCAGTTGTGTGGGGGCGATTTTGGGGAGTGGGTGGGGTTCATTGTGCGATTGTGTATGGGGGGATTTGGGGAGGCTGGGTGGGGGATTTGTATGCTCACTTGTGTGTGTATGAGCTTTGGGGAACCTGGGCAGAGTGCACTGTGTGTGTCATTTATGTGGGTGGGATTTTGGGGAGTGGGCATTATATGTGCAATTGTGTGTTGGGAGATTTGGGGAGGCTGGGTGGGTGCATTGTTTGTCCAATTGTATGTGTGTGTGAGACTTTGGGGGTGGATGGGGTGCATTGTATGTGTGATTGTGGGGGGGATTTTAGGGGTGGGCGGGGTGCACTGTGTGTGCAATTGTATGTGTGTGCCCCCACACAGGAAAGACGGCTCTATTCCCTGTCCCAGAGCCCTGTGCTCCCAGAGTGTGGACATTCAGGCATGGCCATTGTCAGCAGCACAGGGGTGACAAGGGGCAGCCGAGAGAGTTCTGGCATCTCAGGTCCTAGGTTCCAGTTCCAACCTGCCACCTGCTCACCCTGCAGCCCTGGTGCCTGCTTCCTCACCCCACCCCGGCTGGAGGTCGTGAGCGCAGGCACAGCGCTTCCTCCCCGACTTGTGGCTCTGTGCCTGAGGAAGATGGTTCTGCGGCCCCATCCTGCTGTCCTGCCTGGAGTTGAAGGGTGTGTGGTTCTTTCTTCTGGGCGGATGAAGGCTCCCTTGAGGGGCGGCCTGGCTCTGGTTACAGGGCCAGCTCCCACGAAGCTGGGTCCCCATGACTGGCAGAGCGACCCTGGGCCGGGTGGCTGGCAGCAGGGCCCTTCTCCGCCTCTCTTTCCGGCAGGCACTTCCCTCGTCCAGCACCTGATGACTGTCCTTATCCGCAAACACGGCCAGCTCTTCACGGCACCAGCCCCGGAAGGGTCCACCTCCCCGCGCAGGGGCCCGCAATGTGCAGTGGGGTGGGGCTCCGAGGAGGTCACCAGAGACAGCCAGGGAGAGCCCTGCGACCCCGGCCTGCCCGCGCACAGGACCTCTTCCCTGGACGGGGCGGCCGTGGCGGTGCTCTCCAGAACAGCCCCCACGGGACCGGGGAGCCGGTGCAGCCCTGGGAAGAAGGTGCAGACCCTGCCCAGTTGGAAGTCCTCCTTCCGTCAGCCGGGATCCCGATCGGGAAGCCCGAAGGGGGGCGGCTCGTCCCTGGAGGTGCCCATCATCTCCTCCGGCGGGAACTGGTTCATGAACGGGTTGTCCTCTCTGCGTGGCCACCGCCGGGCCTCATCGGGAGACCGGCTCAAGGACTCGGGCTCCGTGCAGAGACTCTCCACTTACGACAATGTGCCCGCGCCGGGCCTGGTGCCCGGCATACCCAGCGTGGCCAGCATGGTGTGGTCCGGGGCCTCCTCCAGCGAGTCGTCGGTGGGGGGCTCGCTCAGCAGCTGCACGGCCTGCCGCGCCAGCGACTCGTCCGCCCGCAGCTCCCTGCACACCGACTGGGCCCTGGAGCCCTCCCCGCTCCCCAGCAGCAGCGAGGACCCCAAGTCCCTGGACCTGGACCACAGCCTGGACGAGGCGGGCACGGGTGCCAGCAACAGCGAGCCAAGCGAGCCGGGCAGCCCCACCCGGGAGCACGCGCGCCGCTCCGAGGCCTTACAGGGGCTGGTCACTGAGCTCAGGGCCGAGTTGTGCCGCCAGCGGACTGAGTACGAGAGAAGTGTGAAAAGGTAACGTGCTGCCCCATGGAGCCTCCTGTAAAGGGGTGGAGCCTGCAGGAAAGCTGTGCTCTTGGCACATGGGCGTCGGCCTCTGACTCCCCAGCCACTGGCCCTGGAAGCCAGCCTCAGAGAGGGGAATCCTAGCTCTGGGAAAGCCCTGGGACTGGCAGGCTTTGCACGCAGTCAGTCTGGCACGCAGTCAGTGCTGCAGAGGCCTGCTGACTCCATGTGAGTGGGAGTACCCGCCCAGCTCACCGGGGGCCTTTGCTACACAGGTGGGAACAGAGTCTGTGTGCAGTCTGCAGCCAGGGAGGAGGGGGCAGGACCCTGCAGGTCCCAGGCCTGTCCCAGTACAGGGACCCATAGCCCGGATGCTGGGCGCCGGAAGTGCCCAGGCCCCAGACCAGCCAGGCTAGAAGTGAGGACCCCTTCCTTGATGAGATCAGAATCCAGTTTCCCTGCTGAACCAAGTCCTTGTGCCCGCCCTTGTGACAGGATGGTTGTGCTGCACTCTGAGACTTGCAATCTCACTAACAGAGGGCCGGAGTTCCAGCTTCCCATGAGGACCGGGGTTCCCCTCTGCAGTGAGGAACCTCAGCTCCTGGAGGCCGGGTTCTCCAGTGCACGGGGTTTCCCTTAGCATTGCAGACTCCTTGGCCCCTCTCGCTGCAGGTCTCCATTAGTCGGCTGACCTGTTCACCTGCGTCCCACCCACTAGCAGGGAATTCCTTTTTCCATTAGAGGCAGTGGATGGAGGTGGAAGGCATTCCTGTTGCCCACTCTGAACCTGTGATTTCCACTGGGAGCTGGAATGGCAGCCATTGCCCTTTTGTTCTGCTGACAGCTGTTCTCTGGGTGCTGGAGCGTGCCAGGCATGTGCAGGCACCGTGTCTGCAAAAGGAAGAGACAGGAGAGGGGGGACCTTGAGGGCAGAGGCCCCTGCCATGGGGAAGGTCGCAGCAGGCAGTGCCTGAGCCAGGGCTGGAAGGACCCATAGGATGGAGCCGAGAAAGGAAATAGCATCAGTAGAACCCAAGGGCCTCCAGAAATATAGTAGAAGACGCTATCTGCTGCAGATGCGCTCACAGGCCAAACTCCAGGGCATGTGGGAACTCTTACCATGCAGAAGGCTGGACTGGACCAGCTTCGCCAGTTGTGTGCTGAGTCCCTGGAGCTCCTCTGGTCTGCTCTGAGGTCTGGTTTCTCAAGGGAGACGCAGGACTGTGGGACTCCGGGTCAGACTACCTGGATTCTAGCCCCAGCTCCACCAGGGATTGGCTGACTGTCCCTGGCAGGATCTTTGGGCCCCAGTGACCTCACCCATTTGTCCTGAGTGTTAAGTGACTCACAGTGGATGGCAGCACTCAGGAACCTTTGCTGCTTGCGTTAACTCCTGCCTACTGGCTGGAGGTAAGATGAGGTTCCCAGAGGGAAAGGGACAGCAGTGGTAGCCCTTGTGGAGGGCCTGTCCTCACTAGCAGAGTGGTCTGGGCTGTTGTCTTGGTTAGAGGGAGGGTCTAGAGTGAGGAGGGTCTCTGAGCACAGGAAGGAAGGAGAGGGCATTAGCACCTGTCCCGTCCAGCAGGTGGTTGGGGAATGTGTGTCCTGTTCTCTGGAAGTATGGAGCCATCGGGTGGGGGTTGGGGTGAGGCTGGCCTTGTCCTGGCTCCCAGGACTCTGGACAGAGCCCCTCCCCAGGGCCCTGCTGGGGAGTCAGCCTTCCTTTGTGCATTCCCAAAAGAGAACCTGTTTCCTGTGAAGTACCAGATGCTGTGCAGGTGGCCACAGCTGTGGCAAAAACTGATCCAAATCTCTGTCCGCATTCTTATTTGGGTTGCAGGGAGACAAAGACCGTAAGCACGATACCTTTTGAAAAATACACGCTGTGTTAGAAGGGAGATGAAGGAGGGGAACATAGGGCAGCATGGAGGGGAGCGGAGCGGAGCCTCAGGGTAGAAGGTTGGAGGGCCCTGGGAAGGAGACCCCAGAGCTGTAGCCAGCACTGAGCCCAGGACCCCTACAGGTGGGGAGAGTCAGGGGCTGGGGACTGGAGATGTGTGGAGCGGGGACAATGCTCTGGTCTTTCGCAGAGTGAGATGAGAATGAAGTGTGAAGCTGATGGAGGGTCTTGGCACATTGGGCACTTGGACAGGCACACCTAGGTGCCATGCCGAGCAGAGCTTGCCAGGGGCCAAGGGCAGAACAGGCCAGATAGGAGGTGTGGGGGTCTAGGCCTGACCTATGGGGGGTTTGGCCCTATGGGGCAGCAGGTGGAGGTGGAGGAAGCGGCCAGGTGCTGAGCATATTTTGAAGGCAGAGCCAAAAGGTTTTGCTAGCTGATCAGATATGGGACCAAGAAAAGGAATGGACTTAGGGGAGGACATCATTGTTCAGCTGAGCAGCTGAAGGAAGGTATTCACCAAGAGAGTGCACCAGGGCTGCGGAAGAGTGGTCTGCAGATGAGGGTCAGTACCCTTTAAGTCGGAGATGCTGATGAAATGGTGCAGAGTCATCAGCATGTAGTTGGGGCTTGGAGTCTTGAGCCTGGCAGAGAAGGAACAGGGGAGGTCCAGGCCCAAGCCCAGGGGCAGCAGTGGGGAGGTAGGTGGCTTCTCTCTGACAGCTGCCTGTGCTCCTGGTGGGGAGGGCTCAGGCCATGCTGCACACTCAGTGATGAAGATGGAGGCCTCATTTTGGTGGGTTGGGGAATCCGTGTTTGTTCATCATGCACCACATACCAGGCACTGTGCTGGGCCCCTGGCATCTTCCAGCCCATGGTTACTGCTCTGAGGAGCAGTCACCCTCTGCATTTCAGTGTGGCCTGTGTCCTGCCCACAGCCATGTGGCTCACAGGTCACCAGGCTGGCCTGAAAATCCAGCATGTGTTCCCAGGGGCTGGGCTCAGGTGTGTCCCTTCGAACAGACAGAAGCTGGTCGTCTGGTCAAAAAGACGGCCGTGCCAACCTTGGCACACTGCGGCATGAACCTGCATGGAAGCATGTGGTATAGGCTCTGATGGCGCAGAGGAGCACCACTGGGACCTGCTGGGGAGGATCACAGGAAGCAGCGTCATGTTGGGGGCGCTTGAGCTGAACATGACAGACAAGCAGGAATGGAAGTGACCACCCCACGGGATCTTCTGTGGTTCGCCACGTGTGGCTGGATCGTGGGGACGGTGTGGGGAGCTGTGGGAGGGGAGGCCACAGCACAGGAGCAAAGGCCAGGGGACAGTCCAAGTCCCAACCCTCCCTATGGAGGGGCCTGTGCTGTTCCTGCCAGCTGGCAGGAATCCCATCCTGCACTGGAGGGGCAAATGCAGACCCAGGGAGGCATGGAAGGCATGGATCCTTGTGTTGACATTTCAGGATCGCATGCTGAGGGGAGCTATGGCAGGGGACAGTTTGCTCACGGGTGAAGTACTGGGGTTCTTGTGAGGAGCAGATGAGCCGGGGTGTCCTCCTGCTGCCATGGCCTGGCCTGACCCTTCAACCCACAGTGAGTGCAAGCAGGGTACACCCATGGGACAGTGAACCTGCCCGCAGAGTCTCCAACAGTATCTCTCCTTGACTTTCAGAATCGAAGAAGGGAGTGCTGACCTGAGAAAACGAATGTCTCGGTTAGAAGAAGAACTGGACCAGGAAAAGAAAAAATACATCATGCTGGAAATAAAGCTGCGGAACTCTGAGCGGGCGCGGGAGGATGCGGAGAGGAGGAACCAGCTGTTGCAGAGGGAAATGGAAGAGTTTTTTTCGACCCTAGGAAGCTTGACTGTTGGGGCAAAAGGTGCCAGGGCCCCAAAGTAAAAGGAATGGCAGAGCTTACTTCTGTGCCACGTCTGCTGGTCTCCAGCCATGCACGGAGTCAGAAGCCTCTGTATCTCTGGAGTAGCCAGGCGCTCTGGAACCAGCTGGAGAGAGAGATCCTGATACCTCTGTGGGGACTGTTGGGACCCCACACACTCCAGGTGGGATCAGATGCTGCTCCAACCATGCAGCTCCTGGTGAGGGTCAGAAGGGGACAGTACCAAGAGTAGCGCTTAGCCCTTACCCAGGAAATGTCCTTCATGGCCACAGAAAGGAAGGGCACCCACCATTTCTGCCACAGGATCCAGGCAGCCACTGGGAGCAGTTAGCTTTCTTTATTAAATGTGCTCACAAAGCATGGTGCCTTGTTACCTGGCTCATTTTTCATGCCGCGCGATACAGGGCTTCTTAGGTGACCACTCCTGTTTCTCCAAGGGCTAGGAGCCCCCTGAGGTATGCCCCTGGGTGGAATAGCACAGGCATTGTGAAGTGGGATGTGAAGCCCCCCGAGGGGCAGCAGCCTTGTGCTTTCAGCTCTCTTGTCTGTGCTCAAGGTGGGATGCCTTTCTTTACTCCCCTGCCCCCTAGCCATCTGGACCTCTGCAGCTAGTTCTGTCTTGGGAGGTCCCCTGGGTCTTCCACCATGGCCCCAGCTCTGCTCCAGGGCCAGAGACTGAGTGCGCACCCAGCACAGGTGCTGTGCTGGGGTGAGGTGTGGGCAAGTGTGGCCGCTCTACAGGAGGGCTGAGCCAAGGCCATGGGAAGCGTCTGTTCGCCATATTTCAGGTGCCCATGCCTCACCCTGGGCCCTTGCCCAGCTCCCTTCCAGTCCTTCCTTCCCTGCTGTTCACCCCCCTCCTCTGGCTCATCCACAGACCTGAAGGCTCCTTTAGGGCAAATCCCTCCAGAAAGCCTTTCCCAACCACAGGGCACCCAGGCCAGGCCCGGCTGGAGCTCCTGGCTGTGCTTCAGGAGGCAGCAACGCAGTGCCTCTGGGCCCAGCAGTGTCACGCTGCTGTCTTCACCTGTTCCCCTCACGGCGTCCTGATGTGTGACTGACCCCTCGCTGCCCCTGAGCAGTCACCTGCAGGGGTTTGTTCAGGGAGCAGTGGTCACCAGAGCGCCCAGTTTCTGACCACAGCCACTAGAAACGTCACTCAGGCCCAACCAGCTCCACCTAAAGTCAGGTATAAACAGTGCCCACACCTGATGCTTTAAATGCCAGGGGCTCAGTCCTCCCAGGAAATGCCGGCTTCCTACCAGGAAGGCAGGCCCGCAGGGTGAGGCAGGCAGGGCGGCTCCCACACTGTGGCCAGCTACCCATTGTCTCCAGGCAGCTACCAGGGGCTCGTCCACCAGGAGGCGGGCACCTGCTCAGGGCCCTCAGCAGCATCAAGGTCTGGATGCTGGAGCTCAGGAGGGTCTGGGGAGAGTGGCGTCTGTCTTTGCTCAGCCACGGACATGGCGAGCCAGCTGTCTGGGTGATGGGATTTTTCCCTGGGGTTGAGATGCTGCCCTCCCCTCTATTCAAGGAGAGAGAAGAGAATACGAGGTGACTTTGAGTCCTCATAGCAACCCAATGAAGTAGAAAATTGGCCCTATTCTCCATATTCAGAGGAGAAACTGAGGCTTGGAGAAATTGGGTGGGAACAGCAGTACGTTCTGATGACCCTGTTGGGTTCTCTCGCCACAGCCATGGAATTCTGCTGATTTTTACCTGGAGAGAAAATGCCCCCAGGCTATTGAAGGAGCAGAGGAGACTGAAATGGGTTTCCCTTGATGAAAGGAAGCTTGTCTGTCTGTCTCAACCACTAATCCTGGCAAAGGCTTAGGCTCCTGCCCAGTCCCCAGTAGGGATAGGAGCTCATGAATGCCTGAGCCACATCTGCCACGTGTTGGCCAAGTAAGATCTGCAAATGCCATTCTTATCTCGAAATGAATTGGCGTGATTATTCAGTTCTGTTCTCCAATCTCTATGTAACCAGCACTGGGCATCTCATCTGTAAAACACCTGACTTAACTGTCAGGCACACTGAGTGAATGAGGCTGACCTGTTGGGGGGTCTCTAGTATCCCCACCACTACCCACTTCTCTCAATTGAGTTATGTTTGCTGAACCTGGTCCCAAACTGACAGATTCCCATTGTACTTGTTACTGTAATTACATCATTTAATATGAAGTAGACTCATGAATTACATGAATTATGAACATGAAAAGTAGGGAATTGATTCATCGAAACCCTGGAATGCTTTAGAAAGACTCAGTAGAGGCACATTGCTAAATGTATGGTTGAATGAAACATGCAGTAGCGAGAAATGGGAAGAATCTGGAGTTCTGCTCTCAGAATACTTCAACAGTGTCGTAAAACTTGTGTTTGACTTTAAAGAAATACTGGAAATTGTGAATGTCTCATACCAAAAAAAAAAAAAAAAAAAAAAAACAAAGAGTTCGCTTATGTTAAAAGAATAACAAATGAATGTACATGTTCTTTAAAGTTAAAATACAATTTTAAGGGTATGTGTGTGTGAGAAACAGAAATAGAGAGAAAAGGAAGAGTCCTTGTCAACTGGCTTTTGAGTGATGGACCAGGAATGCAGCTTATTCCTGAAGGAATTTCAGAATGGAACCCATATATCCATGTTTCCCTGGTCTGTGGGTAAAAATGGAGTCAGTAACAACGTTTCACATACTCTCTCCCTCTCCTTTGGATGCAGAACCCCAGGCCCCTGCAGAGCCCTCCCAGTATCCTAAGTAATTATCTCACGAGTGTCTTGAGTTCCCAGCTAAGCAGCCGTGACATTGCCACACACTGCTGCTGCCTCTCTTTACTCCTGCCTCCACCAAGAACCCCCACCTGTGCCAGGATTGCTGTCCTTTTCTACCAGCCACATTGCTACTATTTCTGTCTCCCAAAGCAAGCCCTGCAACACTTGAGCACGGGGGTCTCACAACGTGTTGTAGTCTGTGAAGAAGTGGGGCAGGGTAGGACAGGGTCATGAAAAGCCCAGCAGGGACCAGATACTCTGAGGGCCTATCGCCCATGGTGAGAGGTTTTTATTCTAAGGGAGATAGGAAAGGATTTGAGAGCTTTACATTAACTCACATGAATTGACTTCCATTTTGATAGTGGAAGGGGAGAGAGCTTTTGAAAGATGGGAACTCCTGAGCATGTCTGTACACTGCTGAGCATGATCCCAACGACAGGGAGAGAGTTGCAGGCAGGTTCATAGGAATGCACAGCGGTCTTTGAGAAGTCCTGAAAAATGCCAAACATGCTTACCTTACATAGCATACCCCAGAAGCTTTTGTGCAGGGGACGTTTTTATTCCCATAAAGCTGCTCAAGCAGAACACAGCAGTTTCCAAGCAAAGGCTCTGGAGCCCGCCTGCCCAGATGCAGATCCTGCCCCCGCCACGTGTGACAAGCTGGCTTGATGACCCCACTCCAAGACAGCTAAATCTCTATGCTATCTGGGCACTGGGTCTTAACCCGATGGTTTCGTAAATCCCAAGCCCCTGCACTCACCCCACAGCTGGTTAAAAAGTTCACCAGGTTAGGAAACCAGCAGCAGCTGACCCAAAATTCCTGGTAGAGAATTTCTGTTTTTCTATAATTATTTCCTTTTTCCCTTCTTTCAGTGAGCTTTTGATAAATGTCTGTCCACTGTGGTAAAAGGAGACAAGGGGCAGGGTCTGGGCCCAGTTCCCAGGGGACTGAGTAGTAGTCTGGGCTCACTTCTCTAGGCCCAGGTCTAGTGGTGGCCGTGGCCATGCGGATGGGGAGCCTCGGGGTCAGCACGTGAGTTCATTGGTTCAGCTGCACACTGGAGGCGGGTGGGGGGTGGGCTTCAGGTTCTAGAATCTCTCTTCCTTGTGACACATCAAATCGAAGTAAACACAGCATTTAGTTCACATCAAACTCTTCTGGGTATGTTTGCCTAGAGACACATTCAAACAGACATGAGGGACAGATGTTTGACTTGACGAACCTGAACGCCAGGGTGCGGAGCTGACCCTGATGCCAGGCAGGATGATGGCGGTAGCCAGCACCCACCGAGTGCTGGCCAGCCCCTGCCCTGCATGCACACACCAAATCCTCCCAGCAACACTGCCAGGTGACATTAGGCTTCCCACAGGACAGATGACAGAGCACAGCCCGAGTTGAGGCACTTGCAGGGAGTGAGGCAGCCAGTGAGGTCATGATGCTATGTGGGTATTTGGCACCGGAACCCATGCTCACATCACTATAATCACAGCGCTGCATGCAGTGTCCTTATGTCACACTTTGAGGGCCATGAATGTTGCATTTTCAGAGGACAGAAATGGTGTAAAGGATAAGTTCTAGTCATTAGCTTACTCAGCCCACCATTTATGGAACACCTACTTGCCAGGCATTATCTCCAGTAGGACAGGCTCTTCCATCCAGGGGATCCCAGTGTGAGGCATCAAGAGAAGATGAGAACACAGGATGCTGTCAAGTAACAGTAAGAGGCATGGCTCAGCCAGATTGACACTTGTCCAAGGTGATCTAAATTCTCCATCTTGACTAAGCTTACCTGGACCCGCAGGACCCAGTAGACCCCAACCTTTCCAGGACCTTGTCTCATAAAAACACGTGCCTGGCCGGGCATGGTGGCTCACTCCTGTAATCCCAGAACTTTGGGAGGCCGAGGTGGACAGATCACGAGGTCAGGAAATCGAGACCAGCCTGACTAATACAGTGAAACCCCGTCTCTACTAAAAATACAAAAAAATTAGCCAGGCGTGGTGGCGGGCACCTGTAGTCCCTGCTACTCGGGAGGCTGAGGCAGGAGAATGGTGTGAACCTTGGAGGTGGAGCTTGCAGTGAGCAGAGATTGTGCCACTGTACTCCAGCCTGGGCAACAGAGCAAGACTCCGTATCAAAATAAATAAATAAAGTAAAATAAAATAAATGCCTTTGGTTTCTCCCTTTGAACTCTTCTGATCCCTCAGTCTACCCCTCACTTCTCTCAAGACACTGTCATGATTTCTTTACATTTCCAGCCAAGTTTTCAAGTCCTTTTCACTACCTGCTTCTCCACTCACTTGAACTAGGCCCCACTTGCACTTCTCTAGGTAACTCTAAAGTTTTACATGTGGTATATCCAACAGGAATCTTTCCACTATCTTTCTCTGTCCACAAAATGATACTAACAAAAATAGTGCAAGGGCCATGTGAGCAAATGACACAGATCTCACAAGGAAAGAACCTACGATAGCAGAGATCTACAGGCAGGTGAGGGAGCAAACCAATCGTTCCCTTCCTCCCACTCCTGGAGCGGTAAGTTGGAGTTGATGCCATACCTGACATGCATTCTGTCATGGACACTTCAAACCGAG